TTTTGTGAGTGAGGGCTCCCTGAAGGGATAAAATAGTCTCAAGGGCTACTTGTTTGATATACTCCAATACATACACACACACACATATATTATATATCTTGATTATCTTGCATTTATGCAAAAATGCATTTTATTTTTCCCTAAATTCTGTTTTCTCCATTTGATTTCTTATGGATTCCGTGTTCTATGATTCAGTACAAATTTATCATAAAAAAATGGTGTCTAGTGAAATGAATTAATAAAACTTTAACAATTTAATCAATCTTTTAAAATGTAATCAAATGAAAATCAATTTACAACAAAACATTGCATTTTTATTTTTTATTTTATTTTATCAGACATGATGCTGCACAACAGAACTGTATAAATTATTAATAATAAAAAAATAACTTGGCTGTATGTTATTCCTTAAAAATAATAATATTATTATTACTTTGAGAATTGCATTGTAGTATACAGTAGTAATATATTCAGTCATGCTAATTTAGGCTATTTATTTTATATATATAGCAATATGTGAAAAAAATTAACATGAAAGCGCATAACAAAATGACTACAAATTAAACTAAACCTGAAAACAAAAATTAAAACTACACTAAAAATGAAATAATGATAAATTAAACCAACAGTAATATATGAAACAAATGTACATGAAAGCACATAACAAAATTACTAACAATGACTAAAAATAAAATCATAAATGACTCATAAAAATAAAATAATTTAATAAATAATAAAAATAAGACCCAATTCAAAATATTAATAAAAACTGTAAAAAAATACTCAAATAACACTGGTTCAGATTCACTTCCTGAAGAGTGAAACACTGTGGCACTTTCAGAGTATTGATGTGTTTTGTTTGAGTAACCCGACATGTCAGCTTCTGACTCAACCAATCACGTGAGTCTGGGGCAGGACTATCTGTCTGTCTGACCAATGGCAGACGGGGCAGCAGGAGTGTTTGTGTGATCATTTTTGCTTTTCTATGCCACAATCACAGAGCTCAAGTCTCAAGTCTACTTTATTTCTAGAGCCCTTTCCACTACAAAGTAAGACTAAAGGACTGTACAGCAGCACAATCATACAAAAATCAACAATAACAGAAAAACAAAAATAACCTTGAAGAAAAATTAAACCAATTTACATCTTCCAAAAATCAACATATCAACAGCCATAGAAAACAAATATGTTTTCACGCGAGATTTAAAAACGTCTTAAAAATTTTAAAATTCTTTGTGCTAGTAAGGAGCCTCGCGGCTGCATTCTGGACCAATTGCAGTTTTGAAATAAGAGATTGACTTACTCCCAAATAAAGTGCATTGCAATAGTTCAAACGGGAGAAGAAAAATGCATGAATCACTATCTCAAGATCAGCAACAGACAAAAAAAGATTTCATTTTTGCAATAGTCCTCAACTGAAAGAAGCAACTTTTCACCACACACTTAATCTGATGATCAAACATTAGATCTGAGTCAGATCAAGGACCCAGATTCCTTATTTGGGACCGCATAGAGCTGAAGGATACGTGACGGCGGCATGCGGTTCCCACAGGTTCTCCAGATGATCCAGAACATACAGCAGACCTCTGGAAAACACGGAAACCATGTGAAGAGTCAGAGACAGCAGGAAGAGGAAGAAGAAGCGATAGTTGCGTCTCCCGATGCAGTTGTTCACCCAGGGACAGTGATGGTCAAAGTCCTGAAGAGATTATATATGTGCTCTCAATCGATTAAAAAAATGAACTAATTAATCGTACATTTTATTAGTTAATCACTATGGAGCCAGATCGGCCTCAAAAATAACACATTTGCAAAACAAAATTCATAAATTCACAGCACAATTTACATTTACAAAATCCGATTCGTAAATTCAAAACACAATTCATAAATACACAAGTAAAAGCATAAATATTTCCCCAAATGCTCACACAAATGCATCTTACCTAAATAAATTTAAAATGTTTACACAAATATGTATATATCAAGTTCTTGAATTAATTTCCATCACACATTTATGGTGTATTTATGAATTGTGTTTTGAATTTACGAATCGGATTTTGTAAATGTAAATTGTGCTGTGCATTTATGAATTTTGTTTTGCAAATGTGTTATTTTTGAGGCTGATCTGTCTCCATAAATCACAATTAATTGCATTAAATATGCATTTAATGGCATCTTTGGTAGCCTATTATTAATGAAGACAAGTATAACTGATACCAATACTGCTACCGATGTCTCTATTAAATACATTTTTCAACATTACAGTATAATTGAAAGCCATTATTTTCAACATTTAATAGGCTTTGAAAAATAGTGAACTTAAAACAATCTTCACATTACAAACTAAACTGTATATGTATAAACTATAAATTCAATATGGATTAATCTTTATTCAAGCTACAAAAGTGAATCAGCGAGCAGAGTAGTGAGTGATTTCTTATTCTTTTTTTCTTTGACTTTAAAAGGAGCGCTGTATGTTCAAAACCTGACACGCATCCAATTTTCTCCCAACTCGGATTTTCTAATTACTGGTGCATTCAAGTCCTCCTGGGAAGTTCGTATTTGAGAGTTGACAAGTCGTAATTACGACGTCAGGTGCGTTTAAGTCTCTTTGTTTGGAGCAAGATGGTGATTTAACTTTTCAACATAAAATTCAAAAATTTTTTTACCTCTACATCTACAAAATGATGAATAAAGAATGTGCATGATTGTGTTTTTGCTTTTTTCTGTCTGAAGTGCCAGTACTGAATTAACTTCTCTTTTGCATCTTATCATGCTTGATAGCCTGTTCACATAGTCTACTGTAACGCTAGAAAAAAGATGTCAGGAAAAAATGGATGCTGCGTTAATTGCGTTACAACATTTAACGCGCTGAACTAGAGCTGCACGATTCTGGATAAATTTAGAATCACGATTTTTTTTGTCAAAAAGAGATCACGATTCTCCCACGATTATGAACTAAACAAAATAATGTGTGAGAAAATATCATCACTGCAGTCTATTTAAAAGAGTTTAATTAATTTGAATGAATTATTAAACATTTTAATATGCATGTATTTAACACACCAATTCTTAATATTAACATTTTGAAAAAGTGGTTTGAATGAATGATTCAATGACTCATAAATAGGCTACTTCACTTGTTTCATTACTGGATGAGTCAGTGTTTTTGAACGAATCTCTTGAATGAATGATTCAATGACTCATAAATAGGCTACTTCACTTGTTTCATTACTGGATGAGTCAGTGTTTTTGAACGAATCTCTTGAATGAATGATTCAATGACTCATAAATAGGCTACTTCACTTGTTTCATTACTGGATGAGTCAGTGTTTTTGAACGAATCTCTTGAATGAATGATTCAATGACAAACACATTTTTAACAGTCACTTGTCGCCACCTAGTGGAGAAACAATGCAGTCGACACAAACGTTATTTGAAGCGCCAGTTACTTTCAGAAGATGACTTGCTCTATTTTGATCGCTTCCATAGACATCAATGTTTATATCTGAACTGTAAACGTTCACCCCAGTATTTCTGTGATGATACGAATGACTGTAAGACAGAAAAAATGCTGTGTAGTTGAAAAGACGCGGTTTCTTACCTAAACATGCTAACTGCTCTCTCTGTCAGCGGCAGCGCGAACACAGATCTGAATGTTCCAGTAAGACTTATTCAAAGGTTTAATAGACACAAGCAAATCGCTGTCATGGGATCGCGTGGGTGTTTGAATCGAGATCACGATCTTTTAACGATTAATCGTGCAGCTCTTCGTTAAACTGAAAATAAATAAATAAATGCACAATTAACGTGTTAATTTTGATAGCCCTAATATATCTTATTTGTATTCATCATTTAGCAGCTGATGTCATGGCGCTCGTCTCACTTCCACGCAGTGATCGCAGACGCTACAGTGCGAGCAGCGCGGCGGCCGATAGAAGTGACACGACGCGCACCACTTCATGCGCACCTGCACGCCACGCACCTCCATGTTCTTATAGAGCGGCGCGCAGAAGTCCTCATCCTTGTCCTCGTCCTCATTCGCTGCAGAGAAAACACACAGAGCGTCAGGCCACCGGTGCACGCTTAACGCAAGCGGGTTATTATGGAAGCTAGGACTAAAAAAGTAAAAAAGGGTAATTGCAACTTTTTATCTTGCAATTGTGAGAGAAAATCCGAATTGTGAAATATAAAAATCGGAATTGTGAGATAAGTCGCAATTAGCTTTTTAAATTTTTTTTACGCCATGGCGGGAAAAAAAGAAAACATAATTGCAAGAAAAAAAGTCCGAAGATGTAAACTCAGAATTCGGAGATTTAAACTTGCAATTCTCAGAGGAAAAGTCTGAATAGTGATATATAAACTCAGAATTGTGAATTAAAAAGTCACAATCACCTTTTATATACAGTATATATATTTTTTTTTTAATTCCATGGCGGAAACAAAAAACAGAACTGCGAGATTTAAACTTGCAATTTTAAAGAATTACGAGTTGCTCACATGAAATTGCGAGATACAAACTTGCAATTCTGAGAAAATAATGTCAAGACTATGAAATATAAACCCCAATTGTGAGAAAAATAACTCAGAATTGTGAGATAAAAAGTTGCAATTACCTTATTTTTTCATGGTGGGGGAAAAAAACACAATTGCAAAACGTAAATAAAAAAAAAGTCTGGGAGAAAAGTGTCAAAAATCGCAAGATATACACTTGCAATTCTGAGAGAATAGTACAACGAAAAAAGTTCAACTTGCTATAATGAATTTATAACTTCCAACTACAAAAAAAAAAATTTGTATGGACAAAAGTCAGAATTGTGAGATAGCTAGCAACATGCTACAAATGCTAGAAAAATACTAGCAACATGCTAATTCTTGCTAGCCATATGCTAAAATGCTTACAACAGGCTAAATCATGGTAACGACATGCTTAAACATTCTATCAACGTGGTAAAACATGTTAAAAACATGTTAAAAGATGTTAACAACACGATAATCATGCTAATAACGTGAAAATGACCTTTTTTTCATTCAGTGGCAAAAAACATATATTGCAAAATGTAAATTCAAAATTCTGAGAAGAAAGTGTCGGGATGTGAGATTATGGCTGTGATGTGAGAGGTGTTGAGTGTTCTGGGGCCGGTTGCACCAGCTAGTCGTAAAAAATATCGTGCATGTTCATTATCGTGGTATATCGCATTACCGAATACTGGCACATGTCTAATATATGTATATATATATATATATATATATATATACAGTGGGTACGGAAAGTATTCAGACCCCCTTAAATTTTTCACTCTTTGTTATATTGCAGCCATTTGCTAAAATCAT